CTTGGTGAAGCTCTCAGGTAGGGGGAGCCCCGGAGCTTGTCCTTGCAGCAGCCTCCCAAAGGAGGTCTCCCCACCAGCAGCTCTTCCCCCCTTGGCTTTGCCTGAGCATCCCTAACACGAGGCTTTTTCTCTCTCCTTCCTCATCTCTCCCTCCCAAGGTCTGGTTTAAAAACCGCCGGGCCAAGTGCCGGCAGCAGCAGCAGCAGCAGCAGAACGGGGGCCAGAACAAGGTACGGCCTGCTAAAAAGAAGAATTCTCCAGCCCGGGAAGTGAGTTCGGAGAGCGGGACCAGCGGGCAGTTCACCCCCCCCTCCAGCACCTCTGTCCCCACCATCTCCAGCAGCAGCGCCCCCGTATCCATCTGGAGCCCGGCGTCCATCTCCCCTCTCTCAGACCCCCTGTCCACCTCTTCCTCCTGCATGCAGAGATCCTATCCTATGACCTACACCCAGGCATCTGGCTACAGCCAAGGATACGCTGGCTCGACCTCCTATTTCGGAGGGATGGACTGTGGATCTTACTTGACCCCTATGCACCACCAGCTTCCCGGCCCGGGGACCACCCTGAGTCCCATGGGTGCTAACGCCGTCACCAGCCACCTCAACCAGTCTCCAGCCTCCCTCTCCACCCAGGGCTATGGAGCCTCCAGTTTGGGCTTTAACTCCACCACCGATTGCTTGGATTATAAAGACCAAACCGCCTCCTGGAAGTTAAACTTCAATGCTGACTGCTTGGATTATAAGGACCAGACATCGTCATGGAAGTTCCAGGTTTTGTGAAGAACCTTTGTGATCATGAGAGAAACCGCGCCGAGAACGAACTGGGCTGAGAACGCTCCGCTTTTAGTCAGGTCTTGGTTAAATTAAAGAGAAAAAATAACTCCATGGACAAAAAAATGAACAACAAAAATAAAAAATTACAGACAGCAACAAGAGGGGGGAGAGTGTTGGTGTGATCCCGTTCGGACTCATCTCCTTCTCAGACACTCTGGAAAAGGAATAATCAAGAGGAAAAACGGAGGAGGAAGGCCTTAAAACGGACAGATCATCTAGTGAGCAGAAAACAAGACAGACCCATCTGTGTTCTTTCTAGTTTTAGGCAATTGTTGGGTTTCTTTGTTTGGAAGAGGTGGGAGAGCGTCCCACCTACAGGCCAGTTTTAAAAA